GTGGCTCACGCCTGTAATCCTAGCACTTTGGGAGGCCGAGGTGGATGGATCACCTGAGGCCAGGAGTTCAAGACCAGCCTGGCCATAATGGTGAAACCACATCTTAAAAAAAAAAGAAATCCTTTGACGTCTCCAATCCCCAGATAAGAAGTGTTGCGCACGACACCTGTTGCACACAGCCCACCTCCGTGCCTCGGTGACCTAATGGGGGTGGACCCTTTTTCTGTACACGACCTTCTACTGCACACAGCACGGCCCCTACTGAGCACAGTCCACCTATCTGCGCAGGCGACCTAACGGGGTGGCCCCCTCGCTTGTGACTCATGTGATTATGTATGCCCTATCACTAAGCCTGCAGATGATGACCTCACACATGACCCTGCCCCCTGCCTGTACCTAATAAATGCAGACACTTCTGGGCATTTGGGCTCTCACCAATCTCCGCTCACAGGTGGCGTGGCACCCCGAGTCCAGATGCTCTTCACCAGTTCTTCAGCGTACTGTCCCTTTACTTCTTGGATCCTGCACTTCAGCACGACGTAAGGGACACCCCACGACCCTGTGGGGCCCAGCAGCCCTAAAATTTTGGAGTTTAAGGAGCCCGTGAGCAGTCCAGCAGGGATGTCTATGGGGCCTGGCAACCCTAGGAAAAGGATTTGAGGACTCAAGGCCTAGGAATTGGGGGATCTTTGCTGTAGAGGTATGACCGAAGATTCCTGCTGTTCCTCCTCACCCTGGGGGCTTTGGGACTTCTTTCTTGAACACATCAAAGGAAACTGATGTAAATGTAAGACTTAACGATTCAAAGTATCATTTTTTTCATGCTTTGGAAGAAATGGTCTTTGAAATCTAGGGTGGTACCAGACACATTTTAAAATAACCCCAGGATTTCCAGTGTGAATGTAGAAGTATTTCACTTTTCTTGGGGACAAAATGCACACCACTGGCAGGACCTTCTAAGACATTTCATCAGCTTAGATGTGACTAACTGGTTAATATCTTCCTTGAAAGAATTTTTAACACAATTTCTGCCTGGGCAAGGTGGTGGCTCTTGCCCGTAATCCTAGCAATTTGGGAGGCCGAGGAAGGTGGATTACCTGAGGTCAGAAGTTCAGGAACAGCCTGGCCAACATGGTGAAACCCCATCTCTACTGAAAATACAAAAAAATTTCGCCAGGTACAGTGGTGTGCACCTGTAATCCCAGTTACTCGGGAGGCTGAGACAGGAGAATCGCTTGAACTTGGGAAGCAGCGGTTGTGGTGAGCCGAGATCGCACCACTGCACTCTAGCCTGGCCACAGAGTTAAACTTTGTCTCAAAAAAAAAAAAAAAAATTCCTCTTCCTGCCCAGCCATTTGTCATTTTAGGAATCACTGCAGCTGCCAGGCGCAGTGGCACGTGCCTGTAGTCCCAGCTACTCGGGAGGCTGCGGTGGGAGGATCACTTGAGCCCAGGAGTTCTGGGCTGTAGTGCGCTATGCCGATCGGGTGTCCACACTAAGTTCAGAATCAATATGGTGACCTCCCAGGAGCGGGGACCACCAGGTTGCCTAAGGAGCGGTGAGCCAGCCCAGGTTTTGACAGAGCAGGTCAAAACTTCTGTGCTGATCAGTAGTGGGATCTCACCTGTGAATAGCCACTGCTCTCCAGCCTGGGCAACAGAGCAAGA